TGTTCATGCACAACCGCGACGTGCACATCAGCTACGCCGCGTTCAACGGTCTCGGCCGCACGGACAAGAGCTTCACGCTCACCGATCCGCAGGTCGATAGCGACTGGAACCTCGTCGATGGAACCGGCGACAATCCGCGAGCGCGGTACGCGGTCCACTTCCACCGCAACGGCGTCACGTCCACGACTCCGCCATCAACCGTGGTCGGCAGTGTTGTGAATGGCGGTCCGGGCTGGGGGTTNNTGAACGGCGCTGCGTACGTGTCCGAAGTAGGCGACGAGATTGGCTCGTTCGATAGCAATATCGCCCTCCACACCACGGGCACGACAGAGGACGTCCATAGCCGGGTCTACCGTCAAGACTTCGGCTTCAACGGCGACGGTTTCTGGTTACATAGTGCGGCCCTGACGGTCACCAACAATGTCGTATCCGGGTCGACCGGAAGCGCGTTCTTCTACTACACCCGTGGTCTGCGTTTCGGAGGGGTCGAGACCCCGTTCCTTGCCGAGAATCTGGATGACCCTTCGCTCGCTGGCGGCGATTCGACGCTACCTGCGATGAGCGTGCCGATCAAGCAGTTCGAGAACAACGTGGGCTACTCGTCGAAGGTCGGCCTCACCTTCCGGTACAACCTGTGGCGTTCGGAGCATGGGGCAAGAAGCGTCCTTAGCGATTCGACGTTCTGGAACAACACCACCGGCGTCTCGCTTCCGTACGCCAACCGGACGATCCTGCGTGACTTCACGGTGATTATCGATCCAACGGCCAGCACCACTTTTGGCGTCGAGGGCAACGGAGATACGCAGGATATCTACTACGACAACTTGCGCGTCGAAGGCTACCGCCTTGGGCTCTACCTCCCTCAGAGAGGCGTGAACGTCGTCGACGGCGGGCGTTTCATCAGTCGATCGATGAACATCGTGGCGTACCCCGCCGTCATCCCAGAGGGGTTGCAGGTGCTGATCACCGGCGACATCCACTTCGGAAGTGTGGGCGACTCGCGCGCGAAAGACGTAGCGGCGATTTTCCGAACGCAGAACGTTACCGGCGATCCCCTCGTCGTCTTCCACCCGGTGGCGTTGACGCTGCAGTACGGTCCCTACTCGAACCATCGGCTCTACTTCCCGGTCCAACGAGCCGACGCCGTTCCGTTCCCCGAACCGTTGCAGGGGGTCCCGTCGGCATACGTTGGGCTGACCCAACAACAACTCTACGACACCTTCGGATTGGCGGTTGGTGGAGAGATCGCGCCTGAGGACGCCATCTCGACCTCTGATACAGCGGGCCTGGTTTCAGCGAGCGGCAGGCGCGCCTTCCGAGCCCCGCAGCGAGCCTCATGACCGGCGCCCCGGTAGTTCTAGTAGTCTAGGCGATACCTCTTTCGGCCGTGAATCTGCACGAGCGCCACATCCCGAGAGCCGTTGAGGTCCCTACGATTCGGCAGCTTTGCCGCGCACCTCAGAAGTTGCGGAATTGCTAATGCTGTGTCGTCTTCATCGACCGAGGGGATTCTGGCGTTTCTATTGCCACCGCGCGACTATCCAACATCGAGGGGTGCTGGCCCTTGGCTACGACACTCGCTTCGTGCTTATGGCGCTTCACTCCGAAGCGGCGAACATGCCAGACTTTACTCGCTGAGGCGATGTCCATCGACCAAAGTTCCGAGGACAATCGAACTTGCTGAGAACGATGAAGCCTCCGCAGGCTTGGCGGATGTCAGAAGCCGCGCTAGCGTCTACGTCCTGTGTAGGCTGGCTCGAACACTGTATCTGCCGAGTTGGCAAGAGCCATGTCGAAACTCATTCCTCACATAACGTCGTACGAGTGACGGGCGTCAGCAGTTCTGCGTATGCCACAATGCAAACTCGCGGGTTCCAAACTGTCAGGCGTTTGCCCATTGGCCGACTCTCCTCGTTGCAGCAACGCTCTAGCCGTGTGACATCTTCGTCGTCGGACGGTAGTCGGACGGATTACCGAAGCGACGGACGATCTCCGCGAAGACCGAGCCTGGCTCCACGTGCTCGTCGGTCTCCATCACGAGGTGGTACAGATCCTCCGGCAG